ACTTGACTCTCTCCTATGTTTTGTTCTAGGGTAGGAAATATGAATGTCACCTAACATGTAGGAATAAAGGTGACATAAATTGTGTAAATGCACATCAGGACCAAAGGCCTACCTACCTTCTCATCATGCCTTCCTTTCTTTTTTGTTCACTTGCTTCTTTCTGGTTTTTTTCTTTTCTTTTTTTTTTATTGTTCAGTTAGCCAGCATATAGTATATCATTAGTTTTTGATATAGTGTTCAATGATTCCTTAGTTGCATATAACACCGAGTGCTCATCACCACATGTGCCCTCCTTAATACCCATCACCCAGTTACCCCATCCCCCCACCCACCTCCCTTCTGTAACCCTCAGTTTGTTTCCCAGAGCCCAGAGTCTCTCATGGTTTGTCTTCCTCTCTGATTTCTTCCCATTCAGTTTCCCCTCCCTTCCCCTGTGGTCCTCTGCTCTATTCCTTATGTTCCACATATGAGTGAAACCATATGATAATTGTCTTTCTCTGCTTAACTTATTTCACTTAGCATAATCCCCTCCAGTTCCAACCATGTTGATGCAAATGGTGGGTATTCATCCTTTGTGATGGCTGAGTAATATTCCATTGTATATGTGAACCACATCTTCTTTATCCATTCTTTCTTTCTCTTTCTTTTCTTTTCTTTCTCCCTCCCTTCCTTCCTCCCTCCCTTCCTCCCTTCCTTCCTTCTTTTCTTTTCTTGAAGTGCGCTTGACATACAATACTATATTAGTTTCAGGTGTACAACATAGTGATTCAATATTTATGTACATTAGGAAGTGATCACCATGATAAATCTAGCTACTATCTGTCATCATACAAAGTTGTTACATATTATTAATTATATTCCTTATAGTTTGTACATTGTATCCCTGTGTCTTATTTATTTCTTAACTGGAAGATGGTACTTCTTTATCCCCTTCCCCTATTCTGCCTATCTCATTAGCCCCTCTGCTCTGGCAACAATCAGATTGTCCTCTGTATCCATAGGTCTGTTTCTGTTTTGTTTTGTTTTGTTTTTTAGATTTCACATATAAGTGAATTCATATGGTATTTGTCTTTCTCTGCCTGACTTCTTTCACTTAGCATGAAGTCCTCTCATGGTTTCCTTTCAATCCTTTGCTTTCTTTCCCCCTTTCTCCTGCTCCCCTTTTCTGCTTTGGCACTGGACTTTTGTTTTGTTCCTTCGGTGTGTGCATGTGTGTGATTATCACTGTCCCTTCATGATATCAAGCTGGAAGAAGATACATATGACCATCACTATATCTCTCTCTCCCCAAAGGACACCCCATCAAGATGAAGGATTCTTCCATCGTACAGTACTTTGAAGTATCTGGAATAAAGGCACCCAAACTAAATCGGATAGAGGCCTACAACACTGCAGAAATGTATGCAAAACAGCTCAGTTGTGGTTGCTGGATTATTTACAGCAGCTGACAGATTAACCTCTCATACAGCAACCTGACAAATCCAGGGTTGGCAGATGCAGAGATGCAAATATGCCGTAAATATATCTGCGACTTCTAACCAAAGAACAGATTGCCTTATGAGTGTCTTAGATGTACCTATGAGAAATGAGTATTTTTAAGCAGAATATTTTTATGGGCTCACAACATTATTTTTCCTCATGAAGATCGAAGATTGAGAGAACAAATTATATGATGACATGAAATTTATACTTAAATGCTTCATAAATATATGTGTGTTCATCTTTCCTGCACTTCTATTCTGGGAATCCAAATATTAAAATTTCAGATCCCATTAATCCTGATTATACCTACCAAAAGTGAAATGAGAATCTTATGAATAAAGAGGAGTCTGGGAACTAACTGGAGAAGTAAAAGATCATTTAACAAATATTCTGAGGATTTATCATAGCCCAATTTTTAGGATAGTGACATAGTGGAGTCAAAGATGTATGAAATATATTCTAAGACCTCTGAGAACATGCAATGTTATGAAGATAAGTAAACAAAAACTAGCAGGGATAAGGTAGAATAAAATAAGTAGCATAAAGATTTGTTGACAATGTATAATTTCAATACAATTGAAATTCTAAAGTGCACTAAAGGGATGAAGGAAGTAGTTCTGAGGGACCTGAGAGATGACTACTTTTTCTTGCCTTTCTGCATGCCCTACTGTGCAAAATCTCCTCACTCCCATGCTTAAACACCAGAGTTCTACACTGATGACCCACAAAAGTCTATCACTCAACCCAGATGCACTTCTTGGACCCAGACCTTCACCTCCAACTTCTGGCTAGGCACCTCCACGTTAATGTCCCAAAGATGCATCATACTCAATGTGTCCCCAAACTCGCAGTTTCCCCTGCCCTAAACCACCTCCTATGTTTAGTAAATATTCAAAACCCACTGAGAACACAGTGTCAAATCTTGGACCCTTCCTCTGCCTCACTCCTATCTTTGAACAAAATCTGATTTCTTTTAATTAAGTGTGCTATCCTAAGTAGAGTCCTAAAAGCCTGAAAACAAATCTCCTTGCCTCCATTGTGTGTACCTGTCTATCTTCCCAACAAAATGTTGCAAGGGTTTACCCTCCTTCATGTTCTTCTCTCCCTCTTAAGTAGCATTAGTGTCCTCCATTCCTTATATACAGAATATGACCTAAACTTCTTGGCTAAATTTTAAGAGTTTGGCCCCTGCCTATATATCTAGTCATTTCTCCTCCTCACTTGTACCAGATGCATTAGCCATCCTGGAAAATTCCTTTGCTTATGCTAACCCTTTCTGCCTACAGCGCCCTGTTCTCGGTGATGCCACTCTATGAAGAAGTTTTATCCATCCTTCAAATGTCATCTTATAAGAGCTTTCTTTGACCACTCTTTGATGGAATAGCTCTCCCACTCTTCCCACCACTGGGTCCCATTACCATGCTTTATTTTTCTTCATAACACTTTTCATATATTCCATAGCTCTTTGTTTCATGCCTGGGCCCTGGCTATAGAGTACAAACTTCTAAAAAGACAGCCAGACACATATTTGGGTACTCAGTCATATTTGTTGAATTTATTGACTGCAATCCTTCAGATACTATTCAATCTCATCTTTTCCCTGAGAGAGAAAGAAATAGTGTTGTCCTTTTAGAGCAAGGATCACAGTCTACCTTGCACCATCTGCGTTCATGTGTATTTCAAACCACTAGACTGAAGGGACTGTGGTTCACTCATATCTTCTAGTACAGAATGAACATGCAATACACGTATATTGAATGGAGCTGAATTCAACATAGAGATCTATAATGTGAAATAGATTATCTTTAGGATGGCACATTAGGAAGAAAATAAGAATGACTGAATCTTCAAATGATCTTCAGTTTGGGCATCTAGGACTCTAGAAGAGAAGTTCTTGACCCAGACACAACCTGAAAAAGCTAGGATCCTTCTGTATTTGGAATCAGGAACCACCACTTTTCAAATTTGACACTGTATACGTTACTGTCATTTCTCCCACATTGGCTGAATCAGTTTTGAGTTGCTGACAAACTCTTCTTCTGTTCCTGCCATAAAGATCCCCATCCAGGCCATGGTGAAGTTCAGGGTAATTTAAACTCTTGAAGGGGCAGAAATGTTCTTATAAGAATCCTTCAGGCTTACAGGAGCTAAAGTGATTTTTGGAGGGTTCTTTTTTATTTGGTTAGGTTATACTATGTTTTCAGGGTCAGGGGTTTCCTCTCACGTTGATACTTTTCTATAGGATCATAACTTTCTGAATCCCCTTTTATTTTACAGCCAAACATTCAGTTAGACTCTAGGTGGCTGGTGCATAATGCAGAATTGCAAAAGGTGGAGGGTTAAGGTTTGGGTCCAGAAGATCATTTGGACTGCTTGAACAAGGCACAGTCAACACCATGAAGGAATATTTTTCAGATGACCAGAGTTGTTACAGAAATCAAAAGAGTTTGATTCTACAATGACACAAATATATTTATGTATATGCATTTACTTATTTATTTATGCACTCAACAAAAATTTATTAAGTACCCAACTACATAAAAGATACGAAGGTAGACTAAAATGTAATAAAACATGGTCTCTGTCCTCAGAGAGAATATATTCCCTACCAAATGTTTCATTTTTTGACAAGCAAGTGAGTTTTCTATGGAACATCTTAATTTTTCTTTTTAAAAACTAATCAGATGGAACCACTATTTTAAGAATATTAACAAATTATATTCTCAGAACTCTGATGCTACAGAAATCGAATATTAATAAAGAGGCCACTGCTCTCCAGGATCCAAGTGATCATGAAAGTCCCTTCTCCCACTAAAATTTTATGATTCAATGACTATCGAACTCCTTAATAAAAATGAATAGGAAGATGACATGGCAAGGCTTTATGAAGTTGTATGAAGAAACAGTATTAGTTGGAGATACAGGCAAAAGTGATATTTATTTGTTATCTGACACCTTCAAAAATATTGATACTTCTAACTTTGTTTTGTGAAAACATCTTTCATGTAAGCGGATTTAAAAATCCTCAAGTATCTTCAGTGCTGCAAATCGCATAGTTTAATACTCTGGATAAATTGCCTGTTGCTCAAACTGTCTAGGTCAATTCTCAAACTTGCATTTATAACAAAGAATTAAATTCCCTTAGATCAAAAATCAATTCCATACTCTACAAAAGTTATACCTCAATTTAGAAAATAAAAATATTTCATTTAAAACACAGTTTTATAAAATTGTATTAAACCAACTGATGTTTGATCAAATATCCATTCATCTTAAGAGCTTACTAAAGCAATTGAAACTTGCTGATATATGTGAAGATTCTGGAAGAAATCGGGGCAAAGCATTTGACATTAAATGTAATTAATATTTTTCAAGATTTAAACACAACATTCCTTTAAGATATAAAGTACCCAAGTCTAATCCACTACGTATAATCTGCATTCTCAGTCAGTAATCACATGTTCTCGGTGCACAAGAATTCTGCCGCTACAGATATTTATCCCTCAGGGAGCAAATACCTTGGGCAGCCCCGTTGTTCCGGATGTGTAAAGAATATACAGCGGGTGTTCTGAAAGAACAGGAACACAGTCATGTGATTGTGCTTTGGCCATCTCTTCATGCCAATCGAGGTCACGACCTGGAGCCAAAGGAACTGCCTCCTACACAGGAAGTATACAAGAATATGCACTGAACAAAGGAGAGAGATTACAGTGGAACAATGGAGACCGACTAAATCTATATATATTAGTCTGAGCAGCTGACTGAAAGTCTAGGCCTAGATAGCACTAAATATCAGATTGATGACTACATATTTCAGGGTCATGAGTTAAAAATATTCCTAAAAAGTCCGACAGTTTAATGTTGGCTTCCCAAAGAACATGTTCTATTCAAATCTAAGGATATCTTTAAGAAATCCAAAGTGATGCAGTCATGTTTTCATCAACAGTCAGAACTTAACTAACAGAGGTTCATGTTTTCCACAAACATATGTACACTATTAACTTTATAAACCAATTTCTATTTTTCTAACTTCTTTTATTTTGGAACTAAAGTCTTCACAATGAAATGTCAACTAACCTATTAAAATTTTTCTTCATACAATAAGGGCAATTTAGAACTAATACTGTGGCCGTCTTTCCAAATGAGAAAATATTAAATCATTTTCAGGGATGGTGGAGAAATCAATTTTTGCTTTTTCAAGAACAAAAATTCGTTTTGAAAATTAATGAGCATAATTAATAATTAATATGGTAGAAATGTTTGTGTCCTTTTTTGTTCCTTGAGCCAAGCTCTGTGTTGTAAACTTCAAGGTAATAGAGTCATGAGTTAGAGACAATTAAAAGAGATTAGACCTCTTTATTTAAAATACTGCCAACAAAACAAGCCAGATAGATAAAGAGTAAGGAAGTGGCTAATGGAAAAATTATTCTAATGGGGAGTCACAGCTATTTAAGTAGAATTAAGATTCAGTACATGCCTGATTATTTTCTGAAATGTTAACTAAGCTCCAGATGACACATCAGGAAGTTTATATTTGGTGAATTTATTAGTTTAGGCACAGGCAAGGCTACACATTCCTCAGTGAAAGTTAGTAAGATCCACCATCTAAAGAGAATATGTAACCATTCATTTCATCAAGGTGATCCCCCAGTGAAGCCCAGAGACTCTGAGGGATTTAGAAAAGCCAGGCCATTTCCATTTTTCAGGATACTGAATATATTAATCAGGGTTGTAAATATGGTCATATATTTAAATGAGTACATTTACAAAATAACACTTCAATCTAATATCACAAATAAAATGCCTTTGTGAATAAACACATTATAGATAACAATCAGAATTGAACTGCATAAAGGTGAAGTTTAAGGCCCAATTGGCTTCTCTGGCTTCACTCTGATAGACCCTGAATGTGCCAATGAGATAAATAAAAATACTTAACTGTAACCAGATTGTATATTTCCAGTTGTTTTTATGAATCAGATAAACACAACTAATTTCAAATCACCAAGCCTTTGACATTACAATAACAGACCTATAAAAAAAATTATCACACTGCATAATGAAAAATGTGAATTGAATGATCACAAAATCGAATGAAATGAGGATTAAAAGAATGGTTATTCTTCAGGCTAAGAAAATCCTTTACAGGCATATGTAAAGAAGACTTGGCAAAAGGAAGAGAGGGAAAAATCATCATTAGCTTTTACATATATACATTTACTTCTATAGACACGTCCTGTTATCATTCTTAAAAGGCCATATTGGCAGAGCACCAGAGTTGACTGATGTGATGTTCTTTTGATTCTGTCATTGCTTGCTTGAGGCTTAGGAATGGCAGCAAGGTTTTTACCTCCTTTGGCAAAAATGCAATCCTGGTTAATGAGACACACCACTGAGCCTCGTAATTTGTGTCTCTAAACTGAAAGCAAAGCCAGTCCACCGGGCTTAATTACTAACTAAACAGCAGGCCTACCATAAAGGGCAAGAGACATCCAAAGCCCTCATCTAAAATAAAGATGAGTCAAAATAGAGCGCGGAGTCTCAAGAAAAAAGGAAAGAGAGAGAAAGTGAGCCAGTTATGGGAAGGAGGGATGGAGAAGGGGATATCTACCTATAAAGAGGAAAGAGAAGAGATTTGCATTAGAAAAATCTGAATAGGAAACTTGCCTTTCCATTTCAAGTGTGTTTATAAAGTAAAAGAAATGGCATATATCTTGTTGATTAAAAGTCATTGAACCAAAGTTCAAATCTTGGCACCACTTATTAGCTGTGACTTCGGGCTATGACCTCTCCATAACTCAGTTTCTTCATCTGTAAAATGGGGCCAGGAATAGCATCTATTTCACTGGTTTGTGAAAATTAAATAAGAAGTATATGAAAGTACTTAGCTTTGGGCTTAGTGTAAGTTCTTTACAAATTCGTGAGTTTATGTATATGCAAATGCCACACACATACTCACAGAAACGCTTGTGTGTGTGTGTGTGTGTGTGGTGTGTGTGTGTGTTCCCATCTTTCCTCCAACCTCCTCACACCCAAAGCCTCTTTTATTGCTCACTCTGTATTCCTTGACTTAACAGCAACAAGCCTTCTTAAAAATATGCTTGAGGGCATCTGGAAGAAACTCTAATTTTTTGAGACAGTAAGAATATTAAAATCAATGAGTGCAGCAGTTCATGAACCACAGAGTACTAAAACTTTACACAGAAATTTAATGTGTAATGGGAATTGCTAGGTGGTAATCAAAATGACATGGTTTTAATGCTTTCTATTCTTATATCTTGTCATTTAAGCATTTTCTGCAGATAACCTCTCAAGAGTTCCATAAAATTACATGATTCTTTGCATTCTTATCATTTTTCTTCTGCAAAAAATTTTAATCTGCTAGGAACCCAAGTTGGTTCCACTATAAATAGCTGACACTTGCATGGATGTAAAAATAAGGTGATCATTAGATCAAATTTACTACGAAAAGCACTCTAAGATGTATTCATTGTGGTCTTAGACGGTTTTTTCTTCCTTCATGGATCACAAAATAATTTATCTGTTTAGAATATTCATATTTTATTTTCCTGAACATAGTTTTATTTCCAGACTAAATGCTTTCTCTAAAATTTTAAAAGACAACTTTTTTATATACAAATTAATCATACCACTCCACAAGGCAGGAGAGCTGAGGGATCAAGAATGTGGTCAGAGTGCGTGTGTTCAAATCATGACCCTGACATTCACTAGCTGGGCAAGTTATTTTATCTCTGTTATTGGATTCCTCTTACATAACATAGGAATAATGCTGTTACCTAGCCCATAAGTTATCAGCAAGATTTTTTAAACTATTCATTAGTAGAGTATCAAACATCATATGGTAAACAGTGTTTGTTAAGTATTATCGTGATTATTATAATTTAAATTAATACATGACACCACAATAGACTATGCATAGAATCCAATTCATTAACATTACATATTATTATATGTATTTCAATCTTTTTGTTTTAAGCTATTTTTTTCATAAAGATGGAAAACATAATTCATACCTTTTTTTTTGCAAAAATGGTGACATTCGGGAAGTCTATTTAATAGTTTATAAATCTAGTGTTTTTTTCACATGGTCAAAACTAGAATCATCCTTAGCACATCACCATCAGCAAGCACCAAATTCAATATTCATATTACCATATTTGGACGGTTATAAATGAGCACATTATCTGGTTTGTGTTTTCCCAGTCTCAGTGCTTCTTCTAGAAGGGGAATGTATTCTACTCTTCTTCCAGGTTCAATCCCAAATGATGCTGTAACAACCACCTTGGGCTACAACAGAAAAATCACAATAACTGAGAAAGCGGAGCAATACTAATTAGGTGAGCACAATATTTCAGGTGCAGGTTGGCAATTTAACATTTCTAAAGAAGTGTAATAATTCTGTTCTCTATTGAGTAAATGACTTGAAAACAATAAACCCTTTGTAAATGTTGTAGACCCAACAACTTCCACAGAGATCTCACTTACCTGCTCCAAACTTCCTGTTCAGTGATGCTTTGGGCCAGTAAGTATGAGCTGTTTAAAAAATATTTCCCAAAGAATTCATGAAGCCAGGTAGAATTGCCCTGAACAGGTGACATGCAATCCTAGAGGCCCCATATTTACCGAGGCCCCCATACTGGCTGGTTGGTGCTTAAGTTGTAGTGTTTCTTAGGTGGGCAGGGTCAGCCTGTTGCTAACAGGAAGGGTTACTATATTTTTTTACGTCAGCATCTCTGCTTAAATGTGACCACAAAAAAAAGGGACCTGAATCTCTGATTTTTTTCTTTTATGATTCTTTTCTCATTCTAAATACATTCATTTTTGCCAAATACTCTATTTGTAATTTTGTTGTATTTTTCTTAAAAGGGCCCCCAAATGATTTACATTTCAAGCCCCACGAAGCCTGAACCTGTCATTAAGTTACACTTGGCACTTTTCTTTACCTGACAACTTACTAGTCCTTCTTCAAGATATACTGTGGTGTAGCCAAAAGGTGTCCCTGGAGGGAGCTGAAGAAGTCAGGGTTAATCTCCGTTCTGGGCAGGCCCCAGACGTCCAACTATAGTCAAAATGTTCCTTCATCCCCACACTGAACAGGAAGTCCCCAAAGCCAAATTTGGATCCCATTTATCTCTGTGTCTTCTATGCCTGGTCCAATGCTCACCATACCATAAGCTCTCAATAAATGTTTTTGGAACTGAACCAAATTCTCATTAATTTGCAGAAACAAACATGTCTTTATCCTTTTAAGTACACTGTTTCTTCACCAAGAAATCCAAAGCAAAGGAGGCAAATAATAAATTATTCAGGAGATAGATAATCAATCCAAGATAGTGCATCCATTCCTGAATTCTGATTTCTAGTTATAATGCATTTCATCTAGGAAAGGTTTATATTATACCAACTTATGCATATATCATACTGTCTGCTTTTTGAATATCATTTAATATTCATGGAGCTGAGACTCAGTGCAGTTACATAGCTTGCCCCAGGTTACAAGTGGTGGAATCAGAAAGAGGGCTAGTTCTGTCTGGTTACAGAACCTTTCTCTTCGCTCTGTATCAAGCTGCCTTTTAAAAGAAAAAAAAAGAAAGAAAAGAAAAATAAGTGTTGTTTCATTTTATTATATTTTTAAAGACCTGACGTTTGAACAGAGTTCACATTTTAACATCTGCAATACTCACAAAAATAATTCTAGACAACATTCCCTAAGATTAGAATTCAGAATAAATGAAAGTAAGTTCCATATCAAATTAAAAATATATATAGAACATATCAAAGCTTGAATAATTTAATAAATTCAAAATTAGTCTCTTCCCGTCAAAAAAAGAATCCCTTTCTACATTTCTATTCAACAGCCTTTTATTGGAGATTTTATTTGGTCCAGACTGACTTGTTAGGATACTGTACAGTCTTCCCATCTTCATCTGTTAAAAATAAAGCTTTTTCTTGAGGCAATTTATTTGAAAATCATGACATCAAAATCATTCCTGATTTCAACTATTCATTTTATCCAAGTATCTCAGATATATATCTCTATCTTCTCACCTTTAATTTGACCTGTTCAATGGTCATGCCCATAAGCATATACACTCATTGCCTAAACTCCTTAAGAAGGGTGTGTGTGTGTGTGTGTGTGTGTGTGTTGATGTGGGAAACAAAAGCAGAAGAAAAATTATTAAATTTCCTTACTACCTTACAGCCCATTGTCAAGTCCTGGAAACAGACTGACATTCCTCTAGGGACTCAGCTGCCTCGATGTTAGGGCAAAAGACAATCAGCCTGACCCCCAGGACCCTGTAAGTCTACTTTAACATATAAAAATTCCTTTGGAAACTTCCTTTATCTCTACCCCCCAAGATACATGTTGGCAATCATCCTCCAAGTATATGATCCACCACTATACACATCTGAAGAGTCTCATGATTGAGTTTTTCCTAAACATAACAAATGACCTTTTCCTAACAACAGCTAGCCCCTTCAGGATCCTGGAAACTTTGTTTCCAAAATACCTGGGAGGCTTATGCTATCCTTAACCCCCTCCCAACTTGAAAGCATATCACGGGCCACTCCTCATGACCCCAATGCAGCTCTTTCTGCTGACGGGTCCTGTCTCCGTTCTTTAATAAAACCACTTTTTGCACCAAAGACGGCTCAAGAATTCTTTCTTGGCCATTGGCTTCGAACCCAAATGTCTTTCGTACATCACGTGTGATGAATAAAAACTTAGCCAGTGATATAGTATACATTTTATAAATCCTCATTTTTATGTATCTCAATTTCCCCACATCATATAATTTCCTTAAAAAGGAAATAATACATATAATACATCTCATATTTTTATCCAAATGGTATTTAAGATTTCTATAGCTAAAACGCTGGAGTCTATAGCTTCCTCAAAGGAGACCCCAGCAGCCAACTGGTTTGCAGGTAAGTGACTATTTCCCCCCTAGATTTATCTTCATAAGCACTGACTCAACATGTTCGAAAAAGAGAGAAAATAATCTATCCAGTTAGTCCACAAACCAGCTTCTTAGTTCTACTAACTGATCTATTACCAGATGAAGTCAGATATGCAAACCCTCACTGTCTGCCTTGCACCCAGGGGACCCTCAATACCTATTAGCTCCCTTGTTAGGAAGGTCTCACCTCGGGTTTGTGAAACTCTGAAGGTCAACCATCTGTTAGTCCCGTAACTACCTTCCTTCCTTAATCTTCCTGCTGCTATTACTCTGTTGCACATCGCCCATTACTTCACAGACAGACCACCCACCAATGGGTCTTATTCCAGACTCTCACCTCCCTCCCACTCACTATGTCATATTGCAAGACCTGCCTCCTGTTAGCATTGCTTAAAACAAGACACCCACCTGCTCAAACACTTTGACGAGTCAAGGTCTACAGGACTCAGTTCAGACAAAACTGCCTTTGTAAGCTCACCACCTCTCCCTCTTCAGCCACCTCTGTCTCTTCCCCGTCCTCCCAATGAATTTTACCCTTTCCTGTCTCAGGCCAGACTCATATTCTTTTTCTCCCCTTTTGGATCCCAAAACATCATTCTCTTCAACTGGCTGAATCTTAGGCAAGCTCTAACTCAAATCTCAACTCCAGGAAGTCTGCTTCAGCCACTCCAACTAAAAGAAGTCCTTCCTTCTTCTAACTCAGGGGTCTGTGAACAATGGGTGAGAACCACACCCCACCCCCAGCATGTTTCCGTCGAGTCTTCTCGGGACGCTGTCATGTCCTCTGCTTACATAGTGTGTAGTGCTCACTTCGGCAGCACATATACATAGTGTGTAAAGTTGCTTGAGTGCTCTAACAGCACAGCTGAGGAGCTGCTGTAGCCACCTGTAACCCACAGTGCCTAAAATAGTCACTGTCTTGTAACTTACCAGAAAAAAGTTGGCTGATTCCTACTCTAAATTCATAAGGAAATGATAGCTAACCTTTTTTTTTAATAAGTACTAAATACCAGGCACTGTGTCAAATGCTTTCAATTCAGTATCTCAATGATTATTTCACAACAGCCTTATCAAGTTTGTTATTCTAGTACTCCCATTTAAACGTGTAATCCACCCCTCCCTGACACCCCTTCTTCACCACTGAGCTTATACCAACACTCCTGGAAGTATGTACGTTATAAAGCTACTATGTGTTCCGTCCATCTGGGAAGGATCACTCATTATCCAGTTCTCGCGATAGTACTTGGTATATAGTAGGAAGTTAATAAATATGTTAATGAATAAATTGGTTATTAGTTATTTTCCTTGTATGTCTTACACGCCCCCAATATGTGGCAAGGTAACTTGAAGGGTATGCATCTAATCTTATATTTTATATTCCTCACAGCACCTGGCAAGATGTTTTTCACATAAGATTGACCCCAAAGTAAATTTTGGGGTAATATATATATATATATATATATATATATGCGCCAAAGAAAACACAAAGTTTAAGTATTGAAAGGAGAATCTCATAAGCACAGATCACTCTTGGATGATTCTTTCACAGACAGATACGGTTGTTTTCTCCAAATAAAGCACTTACCTTTGCATGATCAATACGACCGCTTAGTTCTTTGGATGCAAATCCCCCAAATATGAGGCTGTGGATGGCTCCTATCCTGGCACATGCCAGCATGGTGTACATCGCTTGCGGGATCATGGGCATGTAGATAACCACGGTGTCACCTTTCTTGACACCGTGCTTGACCAAAACACCTGCCAGCTTAGAGACCTATAACAAAATCATTACATCAGCCAAGTGTTTTCTGTGTTACTTCACCAAACTTCTAAGACAGTAACACAAGAAGGTGGTCATCGTCTTGGTAGTGGTTTAAAGAAGCCTGAGTAACACGTATTTGATGATGATGTAAGCTTAGACCGTAGCAGTAATAAAAGACACCTGTCTTAGAGTAATTGACTATAAACCAACTTACTATTATTATGCCACATGAACTCTGTGGCTTAAATTTGCTTAATTATCCATTCAACAACATATTTACCGAGCAACTATGATGGACCAGACATTGTGTTTCAAGTCAGGAACACAGACAATGAAAAACAAAGACACAGGTATGTCCCTGTGGAGCTTTAATTCTAAAGGGGAAATTTGTCCAGTGAACAGAAAAGTAACATAATGGCAAATATGGATATATGTTGGCTTAACTGTTGAAAGAGACAAGTATGTGTCAGGAAAGAAAGCATTATCATACACTTACAAGGTCAATCAGACAGATTGTGCTATTATCATTCCTATTTTAAATATATGGTAACTGAGACTCAAATATAACAAACAGCTAAGCTGGGACCAGAGAGGTGGTAAATGATGTAGCCAGGATACCATCACAAGTCTTTCAACCTCCTTTCTGCTGCCTGAAGCTAATTATTTTTTTCTTTATAGTTTTTTTATACTAATTATCTGTACAAAGTGACCACCCTCTATATTGAGATAAAACATACAAACTTCTTCTACTTTTGACACATGTTTTGGGGACCAAAACAGACTGTGTAAAATATACCCAGATCTAAGTGAACACAAAGTTCAACATTCTTTCATTTAAAAAATGTATACGGAGCACCTGTATACGGCAGACACTCTTTTCTGATACATCCGTAAACAAAACAAGACCAAGATCTCTATCCTCAGAGGACTTAGGTTTTAGCAGGGTAAATACTTACAACAAACGTAAGTCAATTATGTATCATGTTAAAAGGTAGTCAGTACTGTGGGCGGAGGGGGAGTAGAACAAAGTAGAGGGGTTGAGAATGAGGGGGATAGGATTCTCAATGGGACAGTGAGCGCAGACCTCACTAAGAAGGTGGCATTTCAGGGCGCCTGGGTGGCTCAGATGGTTGGGCGTCTGCCTTCGGCTCAGGTCATGATCCCGGGGTCCTGGGATCGAGTCCCGCATCGGGCTCCCTGCTCCTTGGGAGCCTGCTTCTCTCTCTCCCTCTCTCTCCCTCTGTCTCTCATGAATAAGTAAATAAAATCTTTAAAAAAAAAAGAAAGTGGCATTTCAGCAAGGACAGGTACATGTTGAGAATAAGTGGATATCCACAGGTATGCTCTTTCTGGCAGAGAGAACACCGGTACAAAGGTGTGAGGGAGATCATCTGTGACGTGATGGAGTAACAGCAAGGCGACCAGGGAGCTGGAACAGAAAGAACAAGGGAGAAAGTGGTGATAGATCAGGTCAGAGAGCGAAAGAAAGGGCCCAGAAGAGCCCAATGGGCAATGGGAAGGACTACGGCTTGCCCTTCGATGTGGCTGTTCAAGATAATGAACAGAGGAGGCCCGAGACAAGGAATTGGGCCACAGGGCTCTTCATGGATCCTTTCATTTCATTCTGCTTCTCCTACTTTTTCAGCAAGTTCTAAGGACTTGGAATCCTGATCATTCTTCCTTTTTCTCTTTATTCACTTCTTCTGTACAGATGGGGAAAGATGTGGCCAAAGTTAAGGGCTCTGGTGAAAGAAAGTAACAAACAACTCTCTTAGTGTTTTGCTCTCCCCTAACTACACGCTATAATTTAGTGCTATTCTTTAAGAACTCAAAGCTGCCCAGCAGAAAGTTATGAGAAAGATATACCAAAGTAATATAAATCATCAATTTAAATTCTATTTGGAGCTCCGGACCAAGAAAAACACTGGAAAATTATATCCAAACCCTCAGGGTGCCATCCCCATAGAAAGGGGCCATGCTCTGTGATCACATTACTGGGTATCCCATTTAAGGTACAGCGCTAGGAGAGACCAATGAGAAGAGTGTGTCCTATTTACAGCTCTAATTTCAGCATCTTGAATAGTGTCTATTGTTGAGTAAAAATGATCTTCATCCAAGACCCAACCTAGCAGTGATTCAGTAACTTTATATTCCAGTCTCACTTCACAATGTTGCTGGAAGATGCCTAACATCTGAAAGAAATTTTTCTGTCCTCTGAAAGAAATGATATTGATGAATTCAAGAACTTTTTTGGGAAAAAAAAATCTCAAAATGACCAAATGTGATGCCAAGATGTATTTAAGTTGGAGTCACGTCACATCTTTAAAAAAAAAAAAAAGCCAACATGTTAAAATTAGGAGGCTTCATATACAAATCCAGATTTCCAGGTTCTCCTGAAAAATTGTAAAGTCTAGCAACACTGGGCCTCTGTTTTTGAATGACAGCAATCAATTAAACCTGATACCAGCGACTAGGTTGAACTCACCATTCCCTGGAGCCATTAATCACAGAGCGTAATTTTTTCTTTCCATCCTGAGTTTAAAATATATTCTTCTACATCTTGTTTATTTTATGTTATATGCTTACACCATAGTTCTATAACCATAAAGGGTGTGATATATACTGATAATGAATTTTTTCCCCACCCGTTTCTCCTATTTATATTATCTGCTTGGCTCAGGCATCTGAATTGTGAACCACTTCCCTGAAGATTAGTAAATTAGGCTGCACCAGGTCCGTATAACCACTAGATGGCGTCCACTTGGCCTTGTTAACCTTGCTTTTTGCAGCCACTCAATGTTTTGATACTGTGCTAACCACGTCAGAGTTGCCATAGAGAAAAAAGTTTTACATGATCAATAGAGAAAATTTCTTTTTCAGTAGTGTCCAGGGCTAAATGTCACTCCAGTAAAATTTTACATTGTAAATTGTATACATATATAAAATTATATACATATATATGTATTTATATACATACATATATATACATATATATGTATGTATATATATGAATGAAGTTGAATGGGAAAACATTTCTGGTGAGACTTCTAATAGGCATATAAAAAACAAAATATTAGCTCAAGCAAGAAAAATAAGTGGATATTGGTTTAATATGAAAATATGTGGTGATATTTCATTACAAAATATTTCTTACTAACATTAAATCTAGAGATAGTCAGTACGGGAGTCCTAGAACAGAATACTTAAGTCTTGTTTCAGACACAAATAAAAACATTTTGAAAATAAGTATAGGCAACAGCAAACAAGAAGAGGAAAAATCTAGAAATCCCCGTCATCTGAGAGTCCATAATCACTCCAAGAAAGTGTTATGAAACTTCAGTACAAAGCGCAATTTGTTTATTGCTATTTCATGGCTCATCTTGTTTTTACTGACTTTCAGATGGAAAAATTATCAAAGAGAAGGAAATTCGATATTATTTTTATTCAGTGTTAATATTCTTCTTATCCTACCATAGATATCTGAATGTAACTTTACAATTTCTATGCTATCCAAAGAGAAAATAGTTAACATATATCTTGTATAATCTATAGTTTCTCAATGAAAGGAAAAGTTACATCATATGTCTTCACCCAATCCATATTCATTTTTGCACCTTCTTAAGATTACAATTTATCAACAATTTAATCATTTTCTATCACTCATACACCACTAAATTGGTTTTCCGTCTAATATCAAGGGCAGTACACATGCTATGAAATCATGGTCAGGCCATGCCTCTCTGCTAGCAGGATAACTGAGCTGTGAAGAAAGCCCGAAGAAACAAAACGAATGTACATATTCATTTAGATACAACACTATTTGCTTCTTCCCACTAGAGACTATTTCAATTAATCATTATTTTGATTAATAGCTAATTTAAAGCCGCTCAAATGTATAAGTATCCTGTCACTGATTCAACTTACACAATATCTGCTATGCATACTATCCTGAAGTCAAGTTTGCAGAGGCAAAATAGGAAGACATAGTCCTTAAAGCAAAGAAATGAAGAGTCCAGGGAAAAAGAATATAAATAAATAGTAATGACAAAGAAACTGTAACAGCAGATATTTATGTTATGTGAAATGGTATACACATAGATTTGGTTTAAATATAACAAATGTGCTTATTTTTGATATAAGTAAAAACTTTAAATTTTAAAATTATAAAATGAAAACATATTAGTATAAACAATAAAAAAGAATTTAGGGCGCCTGGGTAGCTCAGTTGGTTAAGCGACTGCCTTCAGCTCAGGTCATGATCTTGGAGTCCCAGGATCGAGTCCCGCATTGGGCTCCCCGCTCAGCGGGGAGTCTGCTTCTCCCTCTGACCCTCCCCTCTCTCATGCTCTATCTCATTCTCTCTCTCAAATAAATAAATAAAATCTTTAAAAAAAAAAGAATTTAATAAATTTTGTATGTAATCATTCTGCAAAATCTTCATTCAAAAGCAGTCTGTGGGTTAGTATAATTTCATGATCAAATGTCCATGACACAAATATAAACATTAGGTGAAAATGACCAAAGACTATGTTCTGTAGAGTAAATTAACACTTGCTTCACAAACAGCAAGTGTGTCTATCTAAAGAAAATCATGTTTGTATGAGAAAGATAGTGTTGGTGTCCAAATTATAGTAAAAAGATAATAATTATGGGCAATTTCAGGGCCATTTCCAAGAAAATTATATGAAAGAGAAGACAAGAGGAAGCATATTCCAAGCTGCAATGATGTCTCACTGCACACCCTGGTCTAATCAATCATAGAAAATATAACTCATGTAAAAACCAATTATAATATCTGAGGAAGCAATCTTCTTTTCCTAAAATTCTACTTGAAAAATATTCAGAAACCTTCCCATGGCGTTCTATATAAAAACACCTTGAAAGATGGGGAGCAAGCAGGGGATTTACAGGTGGCTGCTCTATAAAGTTTGAATCTGACTTTTCTAAAACCCAGTAAGTTTAAAACCCAGGAAGTACAGCTGGCAATCCCAGATAAAGACACAAATGCGGAA